CTGTGTACATTAACTTCTTGAGTCTTCACTTTTCTGTGAATGCTAACTGCTTTCTTCTTTACAGTGGTGAGAAGACATCTACACAGGAATGGCCTTCAGTTATTGAGATCAAGGGAAGAGTTAGACTAGACCCTTTTGAGAAGTTTCTGCACGACCTTCCTCTCTCTCGAAGCCGTGCAATAATGGTAATTACACCTGGTTTTTTTCCCTCTCATTTTAGCTCTTGTTATTTCTTTCAAATAAAGAACTAGTTTTTACCGTGCGATACACGAATGTAAATATTGTTGTATGAATGATTGATGTGAGAAATTTTAGAAGGTTTCACATTAACTTTTAGATGGAGAAAATATAAAAAAGAAGAATGAATGCGTAGGGAAAAGGAAAAGAAAAGTTAATAGTAGAGAAGATGAAAAGTCACATACCTTTTTTTTTTTGCCAAGGTCTTGAGATTTTGCAACAAACAGGGACATATTAGTATAGATAGATAGTATAGATCAGTTCGTGTTTATTATATTTCATGCTTAAGATTTTGATTAGTACTGTGCTGGTCATACGTTCAAGATATCATTTCACTTGCACATGCTTTCTAGTCAGTTTCTTCAAATTTAGCTGTTGTTGCTGTTATCTCTGTTGTTTTTATTATTATCATTTTATCACTGTCAGCAGTAGTGTTAGTACTCTTGCTGTGACATGCCGCCTTCCTAGATGTGAGGTTATCAAGGAACATTATATAAATTCCTACTATTATCACGTGTTAACAATTTTCTGTCTCCTCATCTGTAACAGTTGCTGGAAAAGAGTAGTAATCTCAACCGATGTAACTGGAAAACGTGTATTCACCATGTTCTTACTCCCATGACGGAGAAGCTAGAATTTTCAGCTCTGAAGATTTTTGCTGCATTGCTATGATTGTTTCTGACATTGTAATGTAACATATAACACTCTGGATTTACTTGTTTTAAGTGTGTTTGGCAAATCCCCCTTAACCTTGTTAAGTCCTTAACCACGTTGGTATTGGTCCAAGGCGGAGGTGGTTGAATCTTAACCTGGTTAAGGGAAGAAAAATGAGCTAAAAAAAGCTGGGCCAGAATTGGCCCAGTTTTCCCCCAAGTTAGTGGTTATTAAATTAACCTGGGAAGTTGCCAAACACGGTCTGGTCATCGTGCTTTTATAGGAAAGCAAAGGAAATGAAAGAAAAATAAGTGAAGAAAAGGAGCGAGAGGGTAACTTTCTTTTGGAAATTTTATTTTCTTCCCAGTAATTAACAAGTGAAGAAAAGGAGTGAGAGGGTAACTTTCAGAAATTTTATTTTCTTCCTAGTAATTAAGGCATGCTAGTTCCTAAGAACGAAGAAGTTGAAGGGAATTGTATCCCCGTTTAAGTCAGAAATTAAAATAAATTGAAGTCTTATGTTCTGCTTTTGTCCTTCACTTAACACTACACCTATCTATCGGACTCACAAAATTATCTGATCTATGTGATGAATTCCTTTCCTTCGTAGGCACCTGTTTTCATTTTCAAATGACTAGCCTCAGTTGAAACTAAAAGCTGATTTAATGCAGATTGTCCAGTTCTGTTGGAAGGAGGGGACTCATGAAAGCGGCCGGTTGAATGTCTGCGAGGTTATATTTTCTCCACATTCTCTATTACTCTCATTCCAATCGCAGCAGTTCACATTCTAACTGCCTTTTCAATTGCAGACAGCAAACTCATACATTGCAGATCAAAGACTAGGCTTTGCTGAGCCAACCCCAGGGGTGGAACTGTATTTTTGCCCTCCTCACCCCAAAACCACCGAAATGCTTGAGAGGCATCTCCCCAAGGATCAAACTGAGCCTCTTTCCTCTGTCGTTAACGGCCTTATTGGTGTTGTTGTATGGCGAAGGGCTCATGTAACTACTATATCACCTAGGCTATCCTCACACCATAAACACAGCACAAGCACAAAGAAACATTCTAGTTCAAGAAGACAACAACAAAATGTTTCAAACCCTAAATCGTCTACCTACTCAAAAACTCAACCCGATGAACCTATTGATGATGTACCTCCGGGCTTTGGCCCTGGTAGTGCGAGAGATGAAGATGACCTCCCTGAATTTGATTTTTCTCGTAGCAATTCACAAAAGAGCACTCCAGCTCTTCCCCCACCCCCAGCTCGTCCAGCACAGCAAATGAGGGAACTCATTTTTAAGTATGGTAAAGGCGACGATGCAAAAAAACCCCTGACAGGAATCCAATGTTGGAACGACGATGATGATGATATTCCAGAGTGGAAACCTGACCGCAATAACCAACCAATACCCCAACCTCAACAACCTCAGCAATTACCTCCACCACCACAATTGCCTCCTTTACCTCAACCTCATACTAATTACCAGCAACCAACAATACATCAACAACAGCAACAGCCCTTTTTTGTGAACCAGAATGTAATGCAACCTCAACAGCTAATGCCAATGCCGGTTACCCTTGCGATGCCTCAGATGAATTTTATGCAAGTGCAACAAAACTTGAACCCTAATATGAACATAAATCCCGGGTGGCAACAGGGGGCTCCACTGTGGGCCCCTCCAGCTCAAATGCAACCGTGTCATGTCAATTTCAATGGTCAGCCAAGTGGCGGTAATAACGGGCAGTTCTATGGTGTGCCCGTGCAGAACGGGATGATGGGCTGGAGACCTGATGTGCCGAGAAACAATGGGGTTTAGTTGTTCTCTGTGATGTAACGATATAATGATCATGACAGCTTTTGTTAGCTTTTGTAACTGTGAAGTTAGGTTTTTTGTATATAATCTGTGTTCTCTTTTTGCATCTCTGGGTTGTGAACGTGATGAATGCAGGTTAGAGTTTTTTTAAGTAATAATTAGTCTGTAATGTAATGGAATTTGCTAGACCGGAAAATTATGATCTTCACCTTGAATAACAGAAAACAGAAACTTCAAGTTTTCTAAATTTGAACCTGAATCGACATTTCAATCATTGTGTGCACTCTTCCTCGAGGACGAAATTTTGGACTAGTTTATTGAAATAGTGAGATTATCCGTCTTGAGCTCATGTTTGTTTATTTGTTTGTTAATTTATACCTTTCATTTTGTTACTTTATTTGGTCACGGATACCCGCAAGGGTATAGTCGGCAATCAGACTTGTGGCTGGTACGGGTAATTGTGGGATATATCATGTTCTAAAGATTTTAACTTGATGCTGGTATGTATGGTGAAATTCAAGTCTCCTTTCTGATTTCATTTTGTTGATGATTTGAATTAGCGTTTTGGATGTGCTCCATGTAGAGGTACACACCAACAAATACTACTGGAAGAACGCGTTGGTCCATGTTATATCAGTGTGTATATTGAATATATACGTATTCTGAGATGACGGTTCTTTTTCAAATAAGTTGTTGGGGGTGTAGGCTAGTGTAGGCGTCAAAAATTGCCAATAGGTTAGCTGTGTGAGATACATACTTGTCATGTTATAGCCGGTGCACATGTATCTTATATTAGGGTATATATTTTAAAGGAAAACCAAATAAGTACAAACTCCTCGCAACGTGCTACGTTAAGCTTCTTCCTTCACAAATTTTTTTGAAACGTGTACAATCATCTTCATCTATGTTCTTTCGGACAAATTTTCAAAACCAACCTATTTGGACTTTTATTCCCAAAAAAGACCCGTTTCACATTTATTTTGAGAAACCGACCTGGTTTCAGCCTCAACGCTGAAACCAGGTCGGTTTTTGAAAAAAACTCTCCGAAACTTCACGGGAGTTGAACTCCCGTGAAGTTTTTTGAACTACGAAACTTCACGGGAGTTCAACTCCCGTGAAGTTTCGGAGAGTTTTTTTCAAAAACCGACCTGTTTTTTTGCAATTATTTTTGAATGGGGTCGTTTTTTGGGAATAAAAGTCCAAATAGGTTGGTTTAGAAAATTTGTCCATGTTCTTTCTTTTATAATCCAATCAAATCTTTCCTGTACCTCTCAATAAAATTGTGTTAAAAAAGAAACTGTCTTCTAAAATTTGGGGTTTATTTAAGGGATCTTAGATACTTACCGGTCTAGTTAAAATATCTCGCTGAAAAAGATTTTTCCAACTATTAAGATATTTTTGGATCAATTAAGGTAATAATAATATTTAGTCTCTAATAACATAATTATCATATCGCTTCTCTCATTCTCTCTCCTCAACGCACAAAATATATGCTCCCTCTCCTCTCATCTTCTCTCATTCGCTCACCTCCGGCTTCCGCTTCGATCGGACTCCAGTCTCCATTCTCAGCCGGCGACCAAAGGTTCAATCTTTTTTGTGTTATTTATTTATTTTTTGTTTCTTATTATTTTCCTACTTAAATAACCCTGATTCCTTCATTATGAGGGCGCTCGAAGGTGAGGGTTTATTATTTTGTGGTTTACTTGAATTTGCAGTTAAATAGATTGGTACGAAGCTGCGAATTTTGGATTGATTTATTATGTCGATTTCAAGTAACTCTCATGCTTTTCCCCCCGTCTCAATTTAGTTGAATGTGTTTGCTTTGATCTGCGATTGGTTTTATGTTTAATGATAGTTTTATCCTCATGATTGGATGAAATGATTTGAAATTAAACTGTAACATATTTAGTAATTCTTGCCCACATTTCCAACCTCTAGCATGATGAGTCTGAACTCTGAATGGGTTATTTCACTAAATATATATTTAGTTCTCTGATTAATAATGATTAAAGGTCTTTGAATGTATAGGATTTTCCTTAGTCATGGAAAGTTTCATCTCACTGAAATATTAGCAAATGCTGACGATCGTCAAGGAGTCAATTATTATCTGAGTCTTCTTCATCACATTGTTGAGAGCAACTACTGATGTTTTTATACAGTCCAAAGAGGTAAAATTGAAACTTAAACTGGCCATATAATTCAATTAGTTTTATTTGGAATTTCTGATGTTGTTATTTTTTCTTCAAATGTTGTCGAATATTATGGGGTGTTTGGTTACATTTCTATAAACTATAGGAAATGTTTTCCATCCCAAATTTGATTTCCTTGTATTTCTTAAAAAAATTATAGGAAAAGTTTTGAGAAGTTAAAAAGTACAAATTTTCTTATTTTTTGTATTATGCTTGTTTGGTTCAAAACAAGAAAATGAGAAATAACTTTTGGGAAAATAGCAATATTTCCTATAATTTATAGAAATGTAACCAAACACCACCAACTTTATAGAAAAGTGAGAACTTTGTAGAAAAGAGTTAATGAGTTTTATTATTTAAATAATGAATGCGTCAGATTTCCAAGAGATTTCCTCCCATTTTAGAAGGAAATCAATTTCCATAAAATTTGGTACTTTTGGGCACTTTACAGAAAACATTTCTGTAAATTTTTTTGGAGCCAAACACAGTTTATAGAAATGTATAGAAAACTCTTAATTACATAAATGCCATGCGTCAATACTTTTGAGAAAACATTTCTCAAAAACATTTCGTCAAGGAGTCAATTATTATCTGAGTCTTCTTCATCACATTGTTGAGAGCAACTACTGATGTTTTTATACAGTCCAAAGAGGTAAAATTGAAACTTAAACTGGCCATATAATTCAATTAGTTTTATTTGGAATTTCTGATGTTGTTATTTTTTCTTCAAATGGTGTCGAATATTAGGGTGTAGCTTTTGGAGTTCGATTTTAATCACCTGAAACTGAAAAACAAGATATTTTAAAATTGAATTTACCTACTTAAAAATTTATTAGTATATAGTATGAAACATATTATAACAAATAGATTATATTTCAATATTTACAGACGTGGTTTGATTAATTCTTGCTTATATTAATTTCTAAAATTTTGTTTTAGTTCTCCAAATGTGTCATGCACGATTATCTTTATTTTTTTACCAAATTTACTCTTCATATCTTTTAAGTGCCTTATTTTTCTGTCACCAGAATTTTTTTTTTTTTAATTTAAAACAAGAGGGGGTGGGGGGGATGATATTTTCGATATATTTGTTACCAAATATAGTCTTATGCAAAATCTTTAGATGCCGTATTTTCAGTTACCATAGATCATAGATTTTTTAAAATTTTAAAAGAAAGAGGGAATTGATATTTTTGGTATGTTTAAATATTTTAGGAATATTTTAATTTTTAGTTAATATTTTTAATCTATTTCACGTTATTTTTAGAAATGATATTATTTTAGGAATATTTTAATTTTTAGTTAATATTTTTAATCTATTTCACGTTATTTTTAGAAATGATATTTCAATTTGAAGTCTCTAAAATTTCGGGATATCAAATCATCGTGATATAAACTATCCACATCTATCATCTCCTAACAGACACTAGTACATAGAAGGCCTACCCCAACGGTTGTAACCGTTAGGACATGTAGTATCTCCAACGGTTGGGACAGAAAAATGACCCGTTTCTGCAAGTAGCGTTGGGGTTAAAACAGCCCCAATGAGTGTAAACTCTGCACCAACGATTCCGCTCGTTGGTACAAGTAAAATTTTAATTAAATATTTAAAAAAAATAAATTATGAAAAAATGGCACCAACGGTTTGAACCGTTGGTGCAAGAATCATCACCAACGGGTTTCACCGTTGGTGGAAGTTTCAACACCAACGGTTTTAAGCCGTTGGTGCAAATAACACCACCAACGGTTGCAACCGTTGGTGCACATAAAATCACCAACAGTTTAAACCGTTAGTGCAAGTTTCGTGCACCAACAGTTCTGAAACTTGCACCAACGGTGTGTTTTTTTATTTTTTTCACTTTTACCTACAACGTTTACATATAATTCATTTCCCACAAAAATATATAATATACTTGTTCACAACATATATATTCCCACGCATAAAACCAAACCATGTTTACATATAATTCATTTCCCACAAAAATATATAATATACTTGTTCACAACATATATATTACCACGCATAAAACCAAAACAAAAGATTGAATAGAATCAGAATACAACAATTTATAAATTACTCAAGTTACAAACATAAAGAGGGTATCTGAAATATACAAATGTCTTAAGTATATTAATTAAAAGTACAAGTCATGGCTGATTTAATTGAAAATAACCAGCAAAAGCTTTGCGGATGTCCTCCTCGCTATAGCCCTCCTGTGTAAAGCCCCTTAAGACCCCTCCCAGCACGCCTTCCAGTCGACTAGCAAGAGGATTTTGTGTTGAAATATCCCAAAGAGAACATTGAGAAGCTGAGGAAACTCTCGAGCCCCTCCATCTTTGTTGACTTCAGTCATCTTCTTCTTCCTTAAAACCTGGACTCCTTCCAATGGAATAAGGATCTCGCCAAGCTTCTTGTATTGCGATCGAGTCAGGACCATATACAGGATGCCCCTTCACCGGATCTGATTGCTCTGATACCAACTCGATACGAGTCGCCGTACGAGCACCATTTGGTCGCGGAATTATTAAAAGGTGGGTTGAGAAGAAGACAACTAAAACACAAGAACAATTCAGTATGGCGAAGAAAAATACCTTATCTAGATTATGAAAAATCAATTATTACAAATTTTTCCCTCACAATCTCACTAGAATCGAGAACAACCTCTCAATCCTCTCTAAACCCTAATACAATGATTAGAATCTCTCTCTGATCTAAGATCTTATAGACCCTCACAATCTAAACCCTAATCATTTTGATTAGGATCTCACTTAGACCTAAAACCCTTTAGATCTACATCTTGGCCTCTAACCTCCTTTTCTTCTGGTCTAAGATGATGTCTAGAAACCCTAAACAACCTTTTGTATAGGTGTACAAACGTGGATGTCAATCTGGTAAATAACCAGACCAAACCCCAAC